ATAAATATAGCCTCGAACGTGGTAATCACAACAAAGGGCACAGCCGCAACGGAGCTGAGCAGCTGAGCAGCTGAGCAACTGAGTGGCTGAGCCACTGTGGAACTGGACCTGAGTGTTGCTCTGACCTAGCCACGCACACATGCTAATTATTATAGCGCCGTGGCATTTGTTTAATGCCAGCCTGTTGCCCTAAATAAACTAAGAATGTAGAAATTGCAAGTGATTATTAGGTGACTAAAAGTGAGAGCAACTGATATGATATGTGATTGTGATGTAATAGGCATGCAAAATAAATTTAAATGGTATATTAAAAAATTATAGATATTAAACTATTAAATATTTATAAATTAAGATGTAAAAGCAAAAAAAATTCATTTATAAAAAGTTTAAAAAAATATGAAACAATATTTTTAAAAATATTTATTAATTGTGATTTAAACGCAACACAAAATACATTTATAAAATATTAAAAAATTGATAAATTGTAAAGCATTACAAAATTTAACAAATTTATTCAAATTTACTAAATCTTAATAAAAGTTTCGTAAGCCGCACATATTTATAAATACATAAATAAATAACTCGCAGCCAATATTGAAAAATAATTATTTTCATATGGGTGTCAAAGTATAAATTACTTTTCTTTGCAAAGAATCTTTTTACACCTTTGACTTGTTATATATAATATTTATATATTTTTATACCCTGAACCTATTGAAAATGGGAAATCAGGGTATAATGGTTTTGTGAAAAAGTATGTAACGGGCAGAAGGAGGCGTGGCAGACCCCACAAAGTATATATATTTTTGATCAGCGCGATGAGCTGAGTCGAAATAGCCCTGTCCGTCCGTCCGTCCGTATGAGTGCGTCGATCTCCGAAGCTATAAGAGCTAGAGAGCTGAAATTTGGCATGCATACTCGTGTGTACCATACGCAGTACGACTTTACTTTATTTTTTCGATAAATCGTCCGATAACTTTTTTATCGAGAATAATCGAAAAATTGATATTGTTTTTTTAGCCTAATTTTAACACTTTTAAACCTGGAGTCTTCAAATTTGCGTTGTATATAAAGTTAAAGATTTTGTAATTTACAGATTTTGGATACCATGCCCCCTTCGCCCCCGATTTGCAAAAAACACATTTCAAGTAGAGACTTGTGTTTTGGAATGTACATACATTTGAACATTATGTTTACGTTCTAAAAGTTTCATTAAGATTGTATGTCTACAAAAGAAATTATTCAACAAATAAATTCTCATAATATTGCCCACACTGCAGTTCATGCGCAGCCGCTGCTTACTGCGCAGTTAGCAGAGCGCGTTGTTATACGCGCGTCTGGATGCATGTGTATGTATGTGTGCATAAAAAAAGAGCAGAATGATTAGAAAATCAGCTTAGAGGGTTCAGGGTATCTCCTAGTCGAGCAGTCTCGACTGGAGCCTTCTTACTTGTTGTTTACTGGAATAGGACTCGACTGAGGTTGATTATGTTTTAATGTTAAAAGCTGTTCTTAAATCATTCTTTAGTTCTAAAATGATACACTCTTATTATTTGGCGTTTTTTCAGCAAAGGCTTTGATCATTAAATAATATATTCATATACATACTTGAAATAAATAAAATACGATTCTAAACGTAGAATAGATTTGAATAATCTAAGCCGAGTGTTCTGAATTATTGCATTGTCTTAAATCACATTGAAACTTTACGGCAATGCAGTTCAGACTCTTCCTTCTTCCTTGGCCAGCTGATGCTCAAATAATTCTCTTAGATAAGCCATCTTTATTTTGAATTGCGATTAGGTTGCTTATCATTCAAGCTGACTTTATAATAGCTCAATTTTTTCGTCATGGTGAAAGTTAATTTAAAGCCGTGCCACATCCAAGATCAGCGAGCTCTGCTGCTTGTGTTTATCTTAGACATAAGGATAATGTAATTTAATCCCTTCCAGTTAACGGCCGAGTTGCACACATTTCGTAGCATGCACAGTCATTTGCGAATCGAAGTGGTGGTAGGCGGATGGGCAGTAAACGTGGATTAAGGATACGGCAGCGTCGCAGAAAGGATAATTCGCCAACCGACAATGCTGAGACAAAGGTGTTTTGTTTTTATGACTTTGTAACTCCTTCGCCCGGTAGACGGCGAGCGACGATCCTTCTGAGGCGGCTGCGTTAGCGTCTGCTCGTGTTTGCGAAAGGATAATTTTACGATCGTTATTCGCGCAGGCAGAGGCTGAGACGGAGGCAGAGACGGAGGCAGGTACCATGTCCAGCTAAGTGGACACAATAGAACGCCTATTCGCACTGCGAATCCGATGGCCAAAAGGAGTGACCAACCAGTTCTGCACAATTGTTTTGCCAAAGGCGGGCTTTATTTTGACTATTTAAAGGATTACGCTAAAGGATTGACTTTGCAACCTTGACTGCCGCCTCGTCTGCATCGTCAGACAACGCTCACGCCCACAATGAAGTTTTCCGCGAATCTTCATCTTGCCAATCCGTCCGAGTGCGGGTTTTATGGTTCGCGAATGAGTTAAAAGCGACCTTTGGGTTTTCAATAAAGCGAATGGCATCGCAAAACTCTTCGTTTCCGCGAAGGACGTCGAAGAGTTAACGTAACTCTTTCGCAACTTGCACGTAAACCTTTTACCACTCACCCAGAAGTTGTAAAAAACAAACAATCAAGAAAACTGACTCCTAGAAATTTTCTACAAAATCCACATCATAATAGCTTTAGACTTAATGTTAGCCAAGACTCTAGGTATATGTGTTATGTTAAACACTTTTCGTGGGAAATTCGAGTTACTTTTACTATTCCATATTTTTGGATGAGCAGTCTTCAAAATGCTTATTTTTTATTTATTTTGGTGTTAACTTAAGATTTAATATTATATTTTAGCTAGATATTAGTTCGGAATTACTGTTTACTTATACATATTATTGTTATTTTTATTTATTACTTTAAAATTAGTTTCTGATAATTGTGTACTTCGGCTTAATATTTATTACTTAACTTACTTGTTTACATAGGCAAATCGTGTCCAAGACGAATCATTAATTATGTCAATATCAATAACTTAATAAATAAAAATAATATAA